TTTCAAGGTCAAACTCTGTTGTTTTTTCGAGCATATTTTGCATGATATTTTTGATAGTGTATTTGGAATATGGTACATTTAGAGAAAGGTGGTCACTATAATGTTGCATCAGAGTAATATTTGCATCATTTGTAGAAGTGCAATATTAAGGAATCTTTATTTGCAAATTTTCAAAAATTTAAACCTTTTTTAACAATGCACCTGTTTGAAAAGATGAAAAAATGCTTGGATAGTTTTATTATTTATGTAACATTGATTTTTAGTGGTCTTGACATTTGTTTACATGATTTTGTTTGTAAAATGAACATATTTTATCAGAATGGTTTAGAGCATGTTTTGGAATTTTTTACGAATAAGCGTTCATGTTTTTTTTAAATCTATTATTATGCATTATTACATAATCAATAAAATGTTATTGAAAAATTCATAAAACATTTGTGTATTTTAGAGAATAATGAAAACAATTTCTGTCAATTTCTAGCATCTTGAATCATGGGCAAAAAGGATGCAGATAAGCCAAGGGGGCGTATGTCTTCATATGCGTTCTTTGTGCAAGTGTGCCGCGAAGAGCACAAGAAGAAACACCCAGGAGAGAATGTGAACTTCAGAGAGTTCTCCAAGAAGTGCTCTGAAAAGTGGGCTGTAAGTATTTTGTTAAATGGCAAAATTCAAAGAAAACAAAAGTTATATTTTCTCTTTACCATAGGGTTCAGCAGTTATTTATGTGTAAAATATTCTGCAGTATGAAGTGTATGGAATATTGTCCTTTCAATGTTTTTAGTTCTTATTCTTTTGAAATACTTATGTTTTAAAAATTGCAGTGAACAATAAAAAAAATCAATTTTAAGTCAAAAATGTGCTTTGTTTTCAGAGTATGACAGCCAAGGAAAAAAAGAGGTTTGAAGAAATGGCTGAAAAGGACAAGGCTCGTTATGAGAGAGAGATGGCCAAATATGTTCCCCCTCCAGGTGAATCTGGTGGCAAAGGAAAGAAGAGGAAGCAGAAGAAGGATCCTAATGCACCTAAGAGGGGAATGTAAGTATTTTGAAGTTAAGAGTCATTTTAAGATTCAAGAATTTGTGTCATTGCAATCACATTCAAGTGTTGGCTGATAAACTAAGTAACAATAATTGATTTGTTTAACTTTATTGTGCTCTTTCACATTTCAGGTCTGCATTCTTTTTCTTCTGTGCCCAAGAACGCCCTGCTCTGAGGGCTCAGTTTCCAGACTTGGGCGTCGGTGAAATTGCTAAGAAGTTAGGTGACAAATGGTCCAAGGTTACCGACAAGAGTGCTTTCGAAAAGATGGCTGCCAATGACAAGGCCAGATATGAAAAGGTAACTTTTTTTTTTTTTTTTTTTTTTTTTGAAAGGAATGCATTTGTCTAAATGCTATTGTCTGTTTTTCACAAATTAATGATCAGTGTGTCTGGGAGAGTTAAACCTTGAATGCAGATACAGCATAGGGGATCCTGATGAACATTACCTAAAAATGGTTTTATAATAATGTCAACTTGCATTTAGGATCTGTACTTGTGTGAAACCTGTGCAAATTAGTAATATTTAGAATGAAAATTCTGCATTTGATATGCTGTACAGGGAATTGCGAACTTACATATTTAGCAACAGCATTTTAATAAATATTGTTTGTGCTTGCAGGAAAAGAGTGCGTATAGTAAGAAGGCTAAGGCATCTCCACAGAAGAAGGCCAAAGAGGAGAGTGAGGAGGAAGAGGAAGATGATGAGGAGGAGGAAGATGAGGATGATGATGATGATGATGAATAAACTGTCTTTGATTACAACTTCTTTCGTGTCCACTCCCATCTTGCACTTACTTAATTTGTAGGCTGTAATTTCACCTTCTCTCGCATAGACACTGAATATTTCCCTACTATTGGACACTTCTCTGTTAAGTTTTGAAAAGTAAGGAGTTTTATTCAGTTTTGAAAATGTTCAGAAGTGAGATGGCCACCATCATTTTGTTGGATGGATCTTCATTACTGTATATAGGAGATCATAATGGTTATTAGATTGCTTGTAAAGAAAGATTTCACCAAGTAGATGCTTGGGTAACTGAGAATTATTTTTTAATACCATAATGGGCTGAGCAAAAGTTCTTGTGAATACTTGAAATTGCAGGCCAAAATTTGAAATTTAGATGTAAATATAGTATGCCACAGTAAATGACCTTTTGCTGACGTAGAAATTGCAACATTCTGAAATTCATTCATCTTTTCATTGCTATTGTCTTTGTATAGTAGATTGTTTTATATTTTGCTTATACTTGTATATTGTGTGTTCTGTTTCTTGGTGACAGAGCCCTGTGAACACTTACTTCTCGTTTTCTGTGGATTTCTGGGAGTTCATTTTAGCAGAAGTAAATGTTTGCTCTTTATCTGTATTGGTCAAATTTTAGTCATCATTTGAGAAATTCTTAAGCTTTTGACTATTTCCATCTGTTTGTGTTGCATCTGGCAAGAGATTGCATTAAAATCGGGAAGTGGCTGTGAATAGAGAAGAGGCCTCGATGATGAGCTGGGAAAACGGCATTGTTATGGAATTGGTGTATACAGATCCAGAGAAACATTTTTATTTCTCATTAGTGTTGTGAGCAGGTTTTATCTTGAACAACAATAAAATGGTTTTATATCAACTGCTGATTTTGTTTTCTTAGGGATAAGGAGGCTGGTTGACACATGGTCAAAACATACCATTGTTTACTCTTCAATTTTTAAAGGAATTGTGGCAGTAAGTTCGTAAAAGCGACTCCACCACGAGGTATATTTAGCAAGCTAGCTTTTACGTTTCTCTGACACTCAGGGTAGGCAGTATGTAAAGCCCAAGTGAAACTGGTGTTGCCATGCGTTTAGTTCATGATATAAGGAAAATTCCTTGGCTGCATTCTGAATTACTCTGTTTCCAATAGTTCCTACCTAAAGCTTTTAGAAGTAGAGCTGAAAATGAAGCATATCCACCCATATTTGATCTAAAGAAACCTATTATTTGATTTCTAGTTATCAACAATTTGGAGGTGGCACGTATTGGCATTGAGGAAAGTAGCTATATTTCAGGGAAAGTTTGGTTTTCAGTTATAGAAGTTGTTACCCACATTGCCTAAAAGGAAAAGTGATTTGCAGGGTGCTTTACAAAATTATTTTGTTAGAGGTCATTTTCAAAACTACATGTCTAGTCTTTGTAATATGGAAAACATTTGTTTAGTTGGTCGAAGTTAATATAGTTTCAAATACTGGAAAGTCCCCTAATGTGCTGATGTGCAAGATGAATAATTTGTTTTTTAATTGTATTTGTTTTAGTAATAACCTTGCATAAGTTGCTTTGTTAGAACAACAGTTCACAGTAAAATGAGAAGTTATTAGAAGAATTCTTTTATTCCATCTTAGAACAATGACAGTTCATGAATAACAATTACACAGCCAAGAAGACATAATTTGCTTCTCACATAAGATTTTGAAAATATTGCACTTCTTTAGGGATGAAATATCAAAACCAATTTTTAATATATTTGTTCAATAACCCCCTTCCATCCTTCATTTAGAACCAATTCCAATTTTTACCTGGGCAATGACATTGAAATATGATTCTACAGATAACTGTTGTTCAAATTAATTACCGAGATCTATATTTGTAAATAAACCCCCATTCCTTGAGAAATTTTATTTAAATTTGTACATGAAGTGACAGTTAAATCAATAATGGTGATTACAACATGCATACTGCACAATGTAAAATAACTTCCAAAATGACAGAAGCTTAAACTGACACATGAAAGTGAAATTTGACAATTTTGGGAAGAAAACATTTCTAAACATTTTTGCAACACAGTGTGTTAAGGTGACATACTGGATAGATGGATTTAGACTGAATACAAGGAATGTAGCTTTGGCTTGTTTATCACCCTGGTGACCATTGAAAATTACAAAGTAATACATATTTGTCAATGGCAGGCAGAGAGGGAGGGACACTATCTCCAAACAAAATGACATATACAAGAGAAAAAAATATTTACAAATGATATTAATTAGTCAATTTTGTCCCTCCATCCTCAGTTTGTTTGTGGGAAATTGTCATTTACAGGGGAGAAGGGCTGACAAAAAATGAAAGATAAATTTCTGGATTATACTTGCTCTGAAATCCTCGCTAAAATCTGAAAGTAACTCTCTTCCATGCATCGTACATAATGGATGTTCTATATTCTCTCTCTCTTTCTCTTACTAATTTACCCCATTTTGAAGTGAAATGGGGCAAATGTTGTCAAAAATGTAATGTTCTACAGTCATTAATCAGGTTATTCAAACTGCAGGCAGGTGTCCTGTCCTTCCCTTGTCCTCTTAGCATCTAGTGAATACAATCTTTAACAAAATATTTAAGCAAAATAGAGATCACATTTATTTATTATTATATTACATTTAAATTTCCAACGCTAACAGCCGATTGTAACTATATCTGATTCAATATAAGTACAGATACGCAATCTGCCTTATGTCAAAAATAACATGGCAAGATATTTTGCTGCCATTGTATGCAAAGAACACTGATGTCAATGCAAAATATAACATTAATTTACTAGTAACAACAATGAAAATGGTATGCCAACAAAACCATTGGTGCATTTGAGAAATGCACCTTTACATTTACAATGTATATAATTGATAATTTAAAAGAACATATATTACAACTATAACAATAATCTTTTAATCTTCAAGTCACATACCTTAAACAGACATCTAGATATCATTTACAATAGGAAACAAAAATCCCCTTCCTTCATCGTAACAAAGTTTCTTACACTTTATATGCACTGTACTTGTGATGCAAGTACACATAACAAAGATGATGCAAAAATATTCAATATATGGAAAACAAAGTTACATTTTATGTATGTTCTGTATAATAGCTATAAGCAAATAATATAAAATGGTAACAAAAAATCAGATCAATGAAAATAATAACAGTTTAATCAGTAAAGACGATTGCTTGTTGTTTTCAACATTTAAAAGCATATATAAGCCAAAAAGAGGTAAAACAGATGGCTGAAATGTTTTGTCATAAACAGACTGTTATTTCACTAATCAAGCCCGAGACATGAAAAGTAAAAAATATGACATAATAATACTTTGGAATTCTGTTTGATTTAGATTTCACGATTTACAACTATGGTCTCAACTATGTGTCAAATCTTGCTACAGTTAACACTCTAGGTTACAATTTACAGTATAGCGACATATGACTATCATCTCTTTCGAATGTGTTTGTACTCCAGGCTGCTGAGGTAATGTAAATTTGTGACGTGTAGTGACACGAAAACAACAGGATGGTATAGACCCATCACTTCAATACATGTATCTCCAGATGCAATTTGTCCACCATTGGGCCAATGACTCGCTCAGCTTGTGTTAAGATATATTACTTGTCATCCAGGTATCTCTCAGTCGAATGAACAGTTCTGTGTTTGGACATGAGGTACCAGTCCAGCAAGAGGTTTATGAACCATCAGGTTTTCGATCAGACGTGTCATACTGTCGGATTACAGTCGACTGGAATACAAGAAAAAATGTCAAAATTTTAAAATGGGTTAACAAGCTCAGATTTAAAATTTTAAAATGACCAATATTGAACAAAATGTGTAAAATTTCTATTTAATATCCTGGCTTCAGTGCAAGAAACTTGATAATTTAATTTGTTTTTGTTTTTTTTACCGTATTTTAACTCAACTAACAGAAAAGAGAGGTCTTCTAGTTATGTTCAAGCCTAAAGACAACTTTTTGTGATAATTCTTGGCAGTGATGATACATATTTCATTCACACTTATTTTGAATTAATGTGAGATGTGTGTCATATAAAATGTATTGATTGCATGGTTATCCTTCATAATACTGATATTCACAGCTTAACTCTGGGACTATAGTGTGTGTGTGTGTGCGCACGTGCGCGTGCATGTGTGAGAACGCACACTTTAAGTATTTCTTCTAGAGTTGAAATCAATATGGTTTTGTAAAAACTAATATGAAAACCACTTCAAACATTTACTGCAACCAAGTTTGATTTAAGTTTTATCTAGATCATCTTTTTAGATCATACTTATTCACTAAAACCTTACATATGAAAGACAGTAACAATTTATAACCTAACTTCTAATTCTGACTTGTATTTATAATACATTGTGTCATAAGCACCAGTGTATATTCTAGATAAAGAATTATAGCAATTTAAAAGTTGACCATATGCTAACTGATACAGGAATTTTGTTTTCATACCCAAGATTCTTGGTTGATGAAAAAGGAAGACTAAGCAAGTAATAAGGCACTTAAATAGGAGTTGAACTAGATCACTGCTTAATAGAATTAATTCTGGATCTAATTATGCAAGGCAGTTAAAACTCCCTGTGCCCCCCCCCCCCAAAAAAAAAATAATAAAATAAAAATAAATAAATAAATAAATAAATAAATAAATAAATAAAAATTCTGTGCTGAGATGCTCCACTGAGTCTCAGACATAAAAATAAGCTGTGAACTAGTTAAACTTTATAGGAAAGGGAAAGTTCTTTCTTTCTTTATATCTTTCTTTCCAACCAAGGTAGAATTTCTTACAATTTACAAATCATATTGCTCATACATATGTCTTAATGCAGCATAAGCAATAGAACCACATTCTGCGGTACAAGAGCACTGAGATAGAAGCACAACAGGTGAAGAGAAAATTGAAGGTATTTATCATGGTGAAACAGGGAGAGGATTTTCTTCTCTGATATGAAAATCTGGTTTCAAAGTAGAGATTTCAGAATCTAAAAAAAAAAAAACAACAACATTATTCGCCCAAGATGTTATGAATTTATTCAAGGCAACTGAAATTAAAAAAAAAAAATTAAATTCAAGCAAGGTGTCTCAGAAGAATAAGGTTCACAACAGGTATACATAACTTGGTGNAAAAAAAAAAAAAAACATTATTCGCCCAAGATGTTATGAATTTATTTAAGGCAACTGGCATTGAAAAAAAATAAATTCAAGCAAGGTGTCTCAGAAAAATAAGGTTCACATCATGTATACATAACTTGGTGTAATCACATTTTTTTTATAATATTGGTTCAGAATTATAAAACATGAATGTGGACAAAATAAATTAAGGATTTAATCACATCTTTACCTCTCCGTAAATTCAATAATTATATGGTTCTTAAATCACAGGGGGCAAGGTATAAATAAAGAAAACCAGAAGCAATTTTGTTCCCCCCATAGAGAAAAGATTATCATAGTGCCTCTGAAGCAAAGCTGTACTTGGGGCTATACCTAGGTGACAAAAGACCCATGTGTTCCTACAGAAATTCAGAACAGAACGGGTGATAATGAATGTGTTAAAAGCATATTAATGGGTCAAAATAAAAAGAAAATGATTAAAAAGATGACTTAAACTATTCAAAGCAATTGCAACTTTTTAAAAGCAAATTAATTAACTATTACATGAACTGGTAAAGTTGAGGCATTATTAATGCTGTAAAAGGGAAACAAATGCTTCAGTCGTAAACTTGTATCCAACTATAAACCTCTTTTTGTTAATTTTGCACACTATAAAAAAAGAAGAAATGATTATTTAATCAAACACCAAGCATTACAAGATTTATTTAGAAAGACATTTCTTCTGTGAGATCACAGCCTTTCTGCTTTGACACTTACCAATGCCACTGCCCCGCCTTCCTCCTGGGAGAAAGCATAACCGTCTGAAAGGTGGATTAAATGTCAACATTAGTGAACTGGTTTGTAAGCTTTAGTTTTATATGTCAGCGTAATACATAATATTACCAATACAAACAGCAGAAAATAAAATTAGGCCCCATTCAGAATAGGTGATCCGAGTACTAACTGATCTGCCCACTAAATATGACTGACCAGGGGCAGATTTAGGGCGCCTTCTGGGTCTTCCGGAAGACGGTCAGATGTTCAAGTTTACATTAATGGGTATTAATGTAATGGCTTATTTTTCTGTCTGAAGACGGTCAAAAATGGAGGATGGATCAACAAAGATAAATTGGAAGACTGTCAGAAAATAACTCCTCTGACCATAGTTGAAAAGTGATGCCAATAATTCCATGATGGTCTCCCCGCCTCCACATTCGCCGTCCCTGCAGGGGCCTAGCTAGCAATTAAACCTCAGGGCCAAAATGAAATCCGTTTAATGGCCCATGTGTAGGCTGGGAGACCATCAGGAATCAGGGGCATCGATTTTGAAGTGGGGTTGGCCATATTTAGTCAGCGGATCATTTAGTACATTTAGTACATGGATAATAATTCTGGATTGGGCCATAGTCCAACATCTTGGGGATTGAAAAAAAAAAAAAAAAAAAAAACTCAAGTGCAGCACAGTCACTGGAGGGGGGGGGGGGGCACCAAGACTATATCAACAAAAGTGAGTGTAAATCTACAGAATAAAAACACATATTTTAATTTTTTTAAGTTTTCAAATACAGTCTAGTGTAACTCATTACTCACGATCTCTCTGTTGAGCTTCTGGTGCCTGAATGGTTGCTGTTGATGGTCGTGTGAACACATTCCGCAGCAACCGTGCCGTCTCTGTGAGTCTAAACATTATTTCAAAGTTGACATTAGTATAAAATTTAGATCAAAGCTGGACATTTCTCATCAAAAATACACAATAGACAATAATTTGCATTAGTTGTCAACATAAAAGCTAAATTATCTTACAAATCTTTTTCGGTATTAGATGAAATAAGTATGAACATTACCAAATTCAAATCTTAACGTGATTTTAAATATCACAAGTAAGTAAAACAAATAAATGCACAAAACTAAAAAAAAAAAAAGAAAAAATGAAACAAAAATTCAAAAAGCATGGTTAGGAACAGCTCAATAACTAATGAAAGATCATAATAAGCATTTATTTATTTGTTAGTTTTTTGCATATTTAAATCTTAAATTGTGTATAAATTAAGACTCAGTACCTCAGATTTACTATCTATAACAGATCTTCTGCAAGTAAAATGAAAGCACATAAGAAAAAATGCGAATTGCTTAATCTGGCACATAAAAAACTATTTGAGTTACCACCCAAAAAATTCCTAAGGAAATAGTAACTATCACAGAAAAGAGACGTCACTTTCTTGAAAGTGAACTCAATTTTCATGTCAGGGAGGTAGTTTAGCAATAACCTTGATGCCTTTGTGTATTTCCTTTGGAATTGTTTGAATTGTTTGTCAAAATAAACGTATGGTAAACTGACAAAGAACATGCAACTGGTTACTGTTAATCAATAAAATGGCAATAAATCTATATTCTCAAGTTATTTTGCTTATCAAACTTCAATTTTAACTTTAAAATAAATGATCGCTTAAAACTTGTGTCTAGAGCATCACATACTGCAAAAACTTTTTTTGGTAAAAAAAAAAAAACACATCGAGTTCCCAACCCATAAGCATGTGCACACTAAATTGATTAACAGCTCACCATTTAACCCATACACCACAAAAAATTGATCAGGGTGCATATTGCATGCTCACACTAAAATCAGTGCATACAAATATAGGAGATGAATTCATCTATAAACCTGTGACAAACAAGTGTTTTCTGATTCACCCATGCTAGTGCATTTTTGTCTGACAAGTGTTATGCCAGCTCTGATCAACCAGTGCACTTTATTCCTTATGACTGAATTTATTCATCCATTGACAAAAATTACCTAAATTTAGCAACCTCTTAATTGTTTATCTCTATGGCACGTGCTATTATTGACAGTTGACTCTGTACAGCACTATTAGTACTTTGCCTCTTGGATTTTTTTTGTTTCAAGATTTTATAAAATCACTGATATGTGCAGTCATCACTATGGATAGAGCTTTTATGTCTATTTGACATAAAGTGATTGAGAGAAGTGCATGTTTTCTCTTCCTTTTCCTGTCCATTTTAATATTAGACATAAGTCTACATTTTCACTATCAAGGATGATTTTGTGAATAACTCTGTTTCATAGATTTTCATACAAGTGCAAACAGAGTCCCATTCATGTTCTAGCAACTTATTCACTAAAAAGCAATGCAATATGATAAGAGCACTAAAAAGCAATGCAATATGATAAGAG